TGCGTTGCCATGGCGTGGCCTTGCCTAGTATCGTACAGACACTGCGCAACATGTCGTACATGCATATGCTTGTGTTGCGGCTGTAAGTCTGCCTTGGTCTTTATCTTGCGTCTGCCTTTTCGACTTTGATTTGGACTAAGTTTGGTTTTCCGCTTTCGGCTTTATCTTTGCTTGCTTTTGCAAAATGCGCAAGGAAAGCGCTGTTTGGCAGTTAAGAATAACATAAAGGTGCATGCGCTGTGCATATATCGCTGCTGTGTACTTGGAGAAAAAAAGTTGGGTTTATTGTTAGATTTTTTTATATTAAAATATTATAATTCAATTAGTATGTATTCATGGAAGAGAAGCATTGAAAGCTTTAAACTGCTTTAGAATTATTCGAATCGATTTTTTAAGGAAATCAAAGAAGATGTGTGAAATAAAAAGTTCAGTTTCTTCTATTTTTTTATAACCTAAAAAAGTTAGGTTAGAGAATCGAACCAATTCCACGCCCACAAAACTGTTTATTTTCGAAATAGAATATAACCAATTGTTCAAAAGTAAAAATTACCATAGGGAATACCACAGGTTCGCGGTTTTTCAATTTTTAAAAAGTGGGCGCGGCTTTGATTAAGATAACTGTAATGTATATACGATCAAGCTGTCAAAACAATCTCAGCAACAATCTAAAACGTCTGTACTATTAAATTTATTCTTGGGGATAATACCGCAAGTTTGCATGCGAATCGGATATAAATTGGCATGGCGTAGCCCGCCCACTTTAAGGTGAAATCTCATATATCTTATATATCGCACTTCGACCACCCTACTTCCCTTTACGTAGTACTAATTCCATATGTTTTTTTTTTTTTTGAAATATACAAAGAAAGAGCCAATAAAATAACGAAATAAAAACTTTGTACAAATAGTGGCTTCGAAGTGTGGCATGCTCTCATCAAAAATTGTCGAAATCAGCTATACTTTTCAAGCCGCCTGATACTGAAAACGAGGATTTAGTTATGGCTTAAGTCCTTTCTGGTGATAATGTGATCTATTGCTAATAATGATAAATCGATTGAGTATTTTACTAGCCCCGTATACCTAAATATTGAAATACGAGCATGACTCAATATCTTACGTATCGATTATGTAAATATTTAAACACACGATTTGAATATATCTTTTTGAAAATACTACGTTTGGTACACAAAATGGTGAAATAAGTCCATAAAAGTTCACATTAGCGCTTATTTATTGTTTATAATTCTGATTTCATTATTTTTTTTCGAACTTTTTAATTTTAATAATAATTTTAATTTATAATTAATTTTTTTGGATTTGGATATGCGATTTTAGATATTACCCAATATATAAAATATTTTTTTCGAACTCTCTTTTCGATGAGACCCTTCCACGTAATCTAAAGTCATATACATACATTAGTATATTAAGAGCTGGTAGAGTGTTTCCTTTTTTATAGAACAACCTATTAAATTTAAAAATTTCAAAAAAAAAATTAATCCCTAACATAATGGAATTTATGTCGATATATATTGTCTATTGGAGCTGGTTATAAACTGTCATATCCTGCATCTAAAAAAGAAAAAACGTTACTTCGGTTGCACAAAATATCCATAAAGTACTATTTTGATCGGTCAGTGGTATGGCATATGCTATAGTGGTCCCATATCGGCGTCGACAAAAAAGTGTGCACAGTCTCAAAATTCCAGACCGATATCTCAAAAATTGAGCACTAGGTATACAGACAGAGGACATGCTAATAACTCAGCTGGTCCTCTCTCTGATCATTTATACGAATAATATAGAGCCTTCGACGTTTCTTTCTTCGTTTTAAAAACTTTATGGCACACTTAATATTCCTGTTCAGGTATAATAATTCGTATCCTCAACATTTGCCATTTCTACAGAACTTTATTTTTTCAGTGTATTTGTGCCACCGTAAAACTAGTCAAAATTAAGTTGTCCCTGAGAAAGTGTGAATAAATCAAAATATGCAAATCATTAGAAATTCGCGATAATTCATTAGTGAAAAAAAGTTACAAGCGTTGAAATGTTGGCTACTAATTGCTACCCGATTTATTGCAAAGATTTTCACTATTCGATGCGAAAATAAGTTTTCGTTTACAAGAAAACACAAATTGATTGCGAAAAGGAGAGAATAGGTAAATCAAATGACAGAAGTGTTAGAAATTGTATCAGAATACTTGCAAGCAGCTAAAGCTCATTCTAAGTGCTGATACTTAGCACAACTGTAAAATATTAAAAACCGAAATGTTTCTTATCAACGCGGTCGTTCGTTCCAGCGACATTTTCATAACACCCATGCGCGCATTAATATCGAAATTAAACATACATTAGCTGTATGTGTGTGCACTCATATATGAATGTGTGTGTGTGTGTGTGTCGACTCCTTCGAAATTTTTGATTAATCGAAGATGCAATTTCATAATCATCATATCGTAGCTTTAAGGCCTGAGCAAAACCAAACACGAAACAAACAACAAACATAATGTACCGTTGTAGCAGCATTACAGTTAATTTTCGTATTTTGACTTCGGAACAGGCAAACTCACGGCTAACAAATTGATAAATCGTGCGTAAGCTTAAGGCGCTCAGTTACCACTTCGTTTTGCAACGATGAACCAAAACGAAATACACAATCGCTTATTGCTGTTGGTTGTTTGTAGGCATGCAAGTGTGTATGTGTATGAGTACTAGCTATGTCACAGGTAATCACTAATGGGCAGAGTTGAAAAGTCAAAGAGTGTCAAGTGACAAAAAGAAAAGGGCGACAAAGCCGATTCTGTGGTGAGAAAGAGGAGCGTGTGTCTCAGCTTACGTGTAAATATACAACAACAACAACACACTCATTACAACAGACTATGTCATATTTGTTGTGAAGATTACAAAGCTGTTTGCAATATCTTTCAGTCACACAATTGCATTCCCCCGGATTTTCATTAATTTTTATTGCGATGCTTCGGTGTTGGTGTACATCATTTATTAAATATTAAACTGCAAATAATATTTCGTTGGTATTTCATTTGTTGGTTTTAGCCCTTGTTAACCTAATCTCATTGTTGGCACTAGACAATCTTTCGATGCTGAATAATATTTTGTACGAATGCGTCGATTTCAATTACGGTAAATTGAAGAAGATTGTGTTAGAGAGCGCATTTGCCTTAAAACAATAATTTTTTTAGAGAATGGTATTACAAATCGACGAGAAAACAATTTGATACAAATACATTGCGTGCTTGAATCACTGACCGCAGAGGGCGCTTTGAAGACTTTTAAACATTCAACGTCGAAAAATGAAATAGTTGTCCAAGCAGTCGATTGTAAAAAATATCTTCATGATGCTCTCATATTCCCATTGAAAGCAAAGATCAAAACAGTTTTAGATTTCAAAACCAGCAATGCTTAAGTTAGGAAGGATAAGCTGTATGCGGTTTAGATGATTACATTAATTCAGCGAGTTAAATCCAAATCAAGCGAAAAGATATGCTGTTCAAAAATCATGCATTTCTTGAATCTCGTAAGCTTTCGATTTGATATTGAACATAGGTTGTTTAAGAGAGAAGTTGGCTCTTGCAAAGATTAAGTTAAAGCACTTACTTCTTAGAAAAAAAATGAAGTATTCACCCACTTTAATGCAGAAAGCTTAAAATTTATATTATTCACTGGTGCCTGACCAGGGAGACTGACATATTATTATTATTTGAATCGTTTCTATGAAAGATAGCAACTAAAATTGAATGCTATTCTTCTTAGACTTAATCTTCAAGAGACTGATGGCGCAGTGGTTTTACTCTACAAAGTAAACCATTTTATTTATTTTATTGAAATAAGATAAATTCAGGTACATAACCGATAGTCTGAATATAAAAACAAGTAAAACAGTTAATTTCGGCTGCATCGAAGCTATATACCTTCACAGGTGCACATCTTATACCATAAAAGGGTATGAAAAGATCTTTATTTTGATTTTGATCGGTAGTTTGTTAGGGTAGCTACCATATATGATGTACTTGTAGTAGTCCGATGTAAACAATTTTTTCGGAGATTAAAGCGTTGCAATGGAAAATATTTTATGCGAAATTTTGTGAGGATACCTTGTCTAATAGAAAAGGTTTCCATACAAGAATTTGAATTTTATCGGTCAGTTTGTAGAACAGCTATATCCTATAGTGCTCCGATTTGGTGGTTATCGGCAAATAAGTAGCTTATTTGAGCAAGAAGGATGTGTGCAAAATTTCAGGGACATATCTAAATTGATTCAGTTCGTCACACTGATATACTTTAGGGTAGATCCCGACATATAATCAATTTATATATTACAATAAGTAATCTACCGAGAATTGAAATCCAAAGTATACGCAAAACATGTTGAATATTAAGTAGAACGCAGTCACTTCTCATAAAATTATATATAATCTTCTCTAAGATGGATAAAAAAGTGAAATATGTACGGTTTTTCACGGGATCCAATAATTTTCATATTCAATGAGTCCTTTGAAAGTATCGCGAAATTTACGATATTAGCCAAAGCCACTTAAGTTGAGAATAATAGTTTTTCAAATCCTCCTATATTATCATCGTTCAAAATAGCTTTCGGTTTACATCACAAAAAGAAAAAAATCAACAAACTTTTCTCTAACACTTTCTCTCAAAAACAAATAGACGATCAGTCACACTTACCTCGTTAATTTCATCCTCCAGCGCTCGCTGACGCGTCAATTCACGCAAGCGCTCACGACGCTGCTCCGTGAGCTGCTCCAGCCGCTTGGCTGCGCGATCGACCTCATTGAATAGTAATGTCACTTTGTGCAGTCTACTTGCAACATTCGCGTTGCCTGCTGCACTACAGTCATCTACCGCAACGACATTATTAGCTACCGTCGCGTTGGCCGCTACTGTTGGCCGCCTGATGGTATCGCATGACGTCATTGAGCTGTACTTTAACGCAGCGGAGCGATTTTGTGACGACTGTTGTTGATGTGTCATGCTAAAGTTATAACTGCCACCAAAGCCGAGATGGCTGATGGATGAAATGGTGGACAATAGCTTGTTGCTGCTGCTGTGGCGATTGTTGTTGCCTGCACCACCGGCTCCAGAGCTGCTGCCATAAATGTTGCCATTATGATTATGGCTATTTTCGCCAGCGTCAGTTGTGGTTGCTGCAACCAGCGCGAACGATTTGGCCAGCTCCTGCAAACGCGCTAGCTGTAAAGCGCCACGCTTGCGCAAATTATGTAATTCAGAATCCATAAGCGCGCGGCTTAGCGCGCGATGTTGCGCATACAATTGGCGACGTGTGGGTAAACCCTGTAGGTCGGCGGAGCGTATGTCACTCATGGCGGCCACTAGCCGTTGGCCCGCCGTGGCGCATTGCCGTTGAAAGGGTTCCAGTGCGACGAAGAATTCGCGCCACTTCCGTGCGTCGTGATGATGCAAACCTTGCAATTTGCCGTACGGTATTTGCGATGGTGCAACACTTGTCGTGACTTCATTGACGCTAATGAATTTCAACGAATGTTGTTTTTGTTGTGTCGCTGCTGCTTGCTGTTGCTGCTCCTGTTCATAAGGGGGAGAAAGAGGAAATCCAAGAAACGTGTGTTGTTAGTTACGATTTTAATAGTTGTTGCTTTTGTTGTAATTTTTACATTCAATCATTGGGTCGGTCCGTCGTTTTGCTCCGTCCTCTCTTCTTTTGCCTACATATTTCTCTAGTTGCACATCTGTTTGTCCGTTTGTCGGTTTGTCGCTTTGCTCGTGTCGCTTTGTGTCTGTGTTTACTCTTTGTCAATGTTTTTGTTGCTATTATTGTGGTAGTTCTTGTTAAAAATCGGGTTAATTGGGTGTTATGTCGGGGCGTTAACCGCGTGCTCAGATGTTGATCATTTGTTCGCGAGCGTTTTTNCATTGCTACTCATTCAATTGTTAGCGAATCGACATCAAGACATTTACCTCATTTTATTTAAAATGTAACTACAGTTCCGCCGGGTGGTGAGTTGTTTGTTCGTCGCTGCTTTGCCCTGGCCTCCGAAGGAAGTTCACACAAAGTTTAGCAGTTCGCAACTGATTTATTTTGGGAACTATTTTCGGTTTTAATGCCAATTTTCGAAAATGTTCATTTGCACTTAAAACCCTTTATCGCATTTTATACAATAGAAATGTGAGTGACAAATTTGGTAAGACCAGCTTAGTGTTTGTTGTTATATGTAGTGAAAGTATTGTTTTGACATGGTTGAGAGACTGTAGGTTATCATTTGACTCCTAATAAGTTCGGTCCACCTGCATTACTTTAGGGTAGATCCCGACATATAAGCAATTTATATTAATATAAATAAGTAATCTACCGAGAATTTGAAATCCAAGTATACGCACAACATGTTGATATTAAGTAGACGCAGTCCTTTTCATCAAAATTATATCATATAATCTTCTCTAAGATGGATAAAAAAGTTAAATATGTACGGTTTTCATGGGATCCAATAATTTTCATATTCAATGAGTTCCTTTGAAAGTACCGCGAAATTTACGATATTAGCCAAAGCTTTATTTTGATTTTGATCGGTAGTTTGTAGGGTAGCTACCATATATGATGTACTTGTAGTAGTCTGATGTAAACAATTTTTTCGGAGATTAAAGCGTTGCAATGGAAAATATTTTATGCGAAATTTTGTGAGGGTATCTTGTCTAATAGAAAAGGTTTCCATACAAGAATTATATTTTTATGGGTCAGTTTGTAGAACAGCTATATCCTATAGTGCTCCGATTTGGTGGTTATCGGCAAATAAGTAGCTTATTAGAGCAAGAAGGATGTGTGCAAAATTTCAGGGACATATCTAAATTGATTCAGTTCGTCACACTGATATACTTTAGGGTAGATCCCGACATATAATCAATTTATATATTACAATAAGTAATCTACCGAGAATTGAAATCCAAAGTATACGCAAAACATGTTGAATATTAAGTAGAACGCAGTCACTTCTCATCAAATTATATATAATCTTCTCTAAGATGGATAAAAAAGTGAAATATGTACGGTTTTTCACGGGATCCAATAATTTTCATATTCAATGAGTCCTTTGAAAGTATCGCGAAATTTACGATATTAGCCAAAGCCACTTAAGTTGAGAATAATAGTTTTTCAAATCCTCCTATATTATCATAGTTCAAAATACCTTTTGGCTTACATCACAGAAAG